GCCCAGGATTGAACATTGTTTCGTTCTGCTGTGCATGGGGTCGCTATGAGTCGGTTCCGACTCGATGGCACCTGACAACAACAACAACAACACTGTCACTTATCTAACTAGGGCCAGGTGTCCAGAGCAGTCTCTCAGGACTAGCAGATGGGGAGGAGGACTGTCAAATTGTGGGAGACAGTACAACCAGGGTGTGTTGTTCCTTCAGCTCCACCCAGTTCTGAGATACCACCCTGGTGGAGGTAGTCCCCCATTCTGAGAAAGGTGGCTCACACAGTGCAGCAGAACTGAGGTGGTGGGCTTGAATTTTCAAACCATCCATACTCCCTCTGATCTGACTGAAAGGTGACCAACTAGGGTCCCATCCCACCCCAATCACTAAACCTGGTGCCCTTAGGACCTAGATAGAAAGTCTGTGAACATGAGTCTTCTGGTCACTAGAAGAGAGTATTCTCATGGACTTGTTAACTCATAACTGACATCCTCATTTAGTGGGCATGAATCAGTGTGGGATATCTCTGTGGCCTGACTTCCTGGGTGCTCACCCTGGAACAGTGGGGCGGGTTGGACCTCCTTCCTTTGCTTAGCAGAACACAAACTTGGGGCCTGAGTGAGGTGCCCTCACTGGGGAGGGAGTCCACCCTCCAGCTCCACATGTAAGGGACACATGAGGGAAATGGGAGTCTTACTGGCTGAGGTGCAGTCCCATTTCCTGGAGGGCTTGCTCTTGCTCGTCACATACCTTCTGTAACTCTGACTTCTCATCCTGGAGCTCCCGCAGCTCCTGAAGCGAACAAACCAGATTCCTGATGTGAGATGAAAGTCTTTTTCATCTTGAAGGGTTAGTAACAAGAGCAACACGCAGGTCAGAATGCTTTCCTAGAGTAAAAATCGGCAGCTCCATGGGAGAAAGATGTAGCAGTCTGTTCTTGTAAAAGATTTACAGCTTTGGAAACACTATGGGACAGTTCTACCATTAAAAATAGGCATCCTCAGACCAAGTTAGGCTCTGCTTAGCTCAGGGGAGGGGAACCTTTTTTACTGCCGAAATCTGCAACACAATTTGCTGGCTATACAAAGTCATCAACTTAAAAAGTAGCCTGCTATATTTGGTCCTACATTTAATTAACTCACCCCAAATGTGATGGCTGGAGTCCTGGTGTGGCATTTGGGTTAATGCGTCAGACTGCAACGCCATTTGAACTGCAAGGTCGGTGGTTCAAGCTCACCAGCTGCTCCTTGAAAACCCTATACAGGGTCACTATGGCTCAGAATCGACTTGACGGCACTTAACAACAACAATGTGATGGCTGGAACTTTAATTGCCTTGGCAGGGCCACAGCACATTATTTCATAGGCTTTTTATGGCCTGTGGGCTGGATGGTCTCCACTCCCTGGCCTGAACTGCTACTAAAAAATAGATTTTTAAAAAGAGGTAGCTATCTCAAAATATATATACATACACCTGAATGCAAAATGATAAAAAGCCTGTGCCAGTGAAGTTAGTTTGGAAGCGTTGATTTTGCTCAGCATTGAAGTAACTGTTTTTTGTTTTTTTTTTTGAAAGAGCTGGCCAGAACTTGCTGAGAATAAGTAAGTGAGGCTGGTGAGGGCCAGAGCTAAGATCTCATTCATGGTCTGAGAGGCAAGCCCTTGTCTCTGAAAGCTCCCAGAACCAAGTTCAGTGGAGCTCACAAGGGCCACGGAGCAGCAAGAAGACATAGGCCTGAGTAGTGAGCAGTGACCCTACTAGCACCTTCTCACTTGGAGCCTATTAATATGAGGAGGAGGCACAGCATGCATCCTGGAGCTGACTGGTTATGTGAAACACACCTCTTTTTTTTGGTAGTTGTTAAGAACTGTCAAGTTGGTTCCGACCCATAGTGTCTCTGTATAGGGTTTCCAAGGAGCAGCTGGTGAGCTTGAACCTCTGCCCTTGCAATTCAAACAACTTTGAAGTCTGGTGCACTAACCCACAGCGTCACACCAGAACTCCAAATCTTAGGCCAAAGTACTTTCAAGTGGTACAAAGGGAGCATGTTCCATGGTGTAACACAATTTTCCCAATTTCTCATCTTTCTTGTCACTCAAGGCAGCCTCCCCCTTCTCTAAGTCCTTCCATGACCTCCATCCTAGGCTTGCCCCATGCTACAACAGGGGCTCTGGACACTTTGCAACAGAAGTCAAAAGAGCCTTTCTGTTCTAATTGCACAGTTGCACCAATTACCTGTTCAACACGACAAAATTCCAAGCCTGGAGGCTGCCCCAAGCCACAAAGTACTCTTCCTTCCTTTACTGGTGGTGTTTTGGTTTGGTCACACTGAGGTGGGCAGCAGCCCTGAGAGCTTGGAGCAGAGAGTACATAACACCCTCGAGCGAAGACCCAGAAAGACACGATGCCCCTGGTCTTCTCTCCTGGTACATCTGGCTGCAATAGCTCTGTCAACTGCTGGAACCTTCCTGTTTCTGGAAGACTTCCACCTAGCCATAGCTACCCATCCATTGCCTCTTGCTCTGGAGCCTACAGAATCCAGGTCAAGCCTTCAGGGGTGCTGGTCCTGGTTGAGGTGGGGTTCACATAGGACTTCAACAATTCCAAGAGCCCCAGGTCGTTCTAGCAGAGACTAACACTTCTGGCTCAGTAAGTTTCCCAGGGACAACTCAGGATCGATAGTTTTATGGGAGCCAGGGAACCCAACCCTGGGTCATTTGGCAGACCAGTCTCAGGGGTTAGGGTACAGACCAAGACTTATTCAAAGAGGGCTCAGGACCGTGGTCTTGGACATCAAGGTCAAATGGCATAACATAGTTCACAAACTCAATGTTCTACTTCCTACTTTGGTGAGTAGCAACTGGAGTCTTAAAAGCTCTTGAATGGCCATCTAAGCTGCAACTATTGGTCTTTCCCTGTCTGGAGCAAAGAAAAGTGATGAAAATTGAAGACAGTAGGAAATAATTAGTCCAGTGGACTAATGGGTCACTTGAACATCAGTCGTCACAACTCTAGAGACAAGAAGAACTAGCTTGCACCCAGCTACCACTATCAACTACTCGGAAAGGGATCACATTAGAAGGAGGTACTGGTATAGATTGGGAGAAAAATGTGGAGCCGCCCCCCACTTAAAATAATCATTACAAAACCCATGTTTACTGGTCTGATAGAGACTGGTGAAGCCCCAAGATTATGGCCCTTATTTACCCTTCATGTCTGGAACTGAACTCACCCCAGTGCTTCAATTTTCAGGGGAACAATAACACTAGGGAGGTAAGCACACCTTAGAATAATCAAACCATTTGCAATCAAAAGGGCATCATTCACCCCAGGACAAAATTCAGAAGGGTCAGGAAAGGAGGAATGGAAACATAGGGAAGAAGTCATATAAGTGATGTTACATTGTGGGGTTTGCAATCAGTGACATGAAATAAAATATGTATGAATGAAAAACTAATTTGCTCTGTAAAACTTCACCCAATTCATCATAAAAAGCTAAAAAAGCAAAATATATTTGTGAGTTATTCCTAGTTCCTTTCTTGCCTTTCATTCTCTATACAGTTGTTGCTTCTGCTGTTAAGTGCCATCGAGTCAGTTCTGACCCACAGTGAAGTAGCCAGAGTGATATTAAAAATCAATCATGTCCCTCTAATAGCTTCTTACCTCATTTAGGTAAAATCCAAATTCCTTCTCACAGCTTAGTTGGGTCACAAGATTGGTTCCCTGGCTCCCAGGCCTCAGCTCCCAGGCACACCCCAGTCACAACACGCCTGCCAGCTGGGCTGCCCTTTCTGCGTCTGAGGCTCTGTCCCCAGCTCTGCAGGGCTGTCTCTGCTGAACTGGCCCTCCTCCTTGGTCCCCATTGAGGGGCTCACAGCTTTCTGTTTCTTGTCTTCATAGGACTCACCACTGTCTGCATTTATCTGGTTTGCTTCCTGGCTTACAGTATACTTTTGCCTTCTCTTCTAAACACATAAGCTCCATGTGAGCGGGTACTCGCCTGTCTTCTCTGAACAGTATCTATGGCTGTGGAGCTTCAGACAGGCAAGTGCAGGGAGGGGAGGCCTACAGCTGAGCCTCTCAGCAGGGATTTCTGGAGACTGCTAACAGTTCTTTCCCTCCCAAAGGCAATTCACTTTACCTTCTTTAATCCTTCTACTTGCTGTAGCTCTGTTCGTAGTAGAGAAGACGTGTCTTTCTCATGCTGTAATTCTCGCTGAAGAGCTTGTCTTTGCTCTTTTTCGGATTTCAACTCTTTCTCTAGACTTGAGCTATTTTCCCAAAATACACGTGAGTTAGTCTCAAAGGAAATTTTCATAGGAAAAAAAACAAAAACATAAGCAAAACCCCATAAAATATAATCCAATTCCCTATTCAGGATGCCACTTGAGCATCTAAACTCTTCAGTAAGGTATGAGAATGGTGGCCTCCAGCCAGGGCCAATTCCCTAAGACCGAAGACACGAGAGAGGCAGCTTCACATTGGATATTATGGAAGTGAAGAAAAATGACGTGAACTTTAAAAAACATAGGCCCACAAAAGAAGAATCCTCTACTGGAATGGAAACCTGAGAGGAAACAAAGAGTTCAAAATGTATGTTGCTTTTCTCCAGTGCCTGTTGACAATAGAGGACTCTGGAGAGCAGAAGGGGCTTGGGAGAGACAGTTGGTCCTAAGGAACTCTTCCCTCTTCCCAGCTGAGGAGCTCTGGGAACGTTGCTGCACTCCTTGGAGTCGATTTCTCATTTGTGAAACCAGGAATATAGAGCTCTCTCATCCACAGGCTCTGTTACTTAGCACATATGTTCTCATCACAATTCCAGTCTGAGAAGGGCTAATTAAACTTGGAAGTAGAGTGCTTTCTGCCCCCAATTTTCTCTGGGAATAAGAAAAAGATCAACAGCTGGCCTTCCACCCTTCGGGAGCTCACAGCCCAGGCCTACCACTGTGCATGCAGCTGGGAGAGCTGTTGCTGCAGCGCGCCGACCCGCCCACCCAGCTCCTGCTGCAGCTTGTGGCTCCGCTCCTCAGCCCCCTGCCTGGCCTGCTCCGAGTGCTGCAGCCTGGATGGAACACAAGCAAAGGATTCATTCTCACAACTGAAAGGCAGGATTTTGCATATTCTTGCTGGTTTTAGTTTTTATATTCTTTGAAATAGAAACTGTGTACACAGTTCCATGAGTTCTAGTATGCGTATAGATTTGTGTAATCGCAATCAGGATATATAAAACTGTTTCATCACCTCAAAACACTCCATCATGCTAGCTATCCGTCTGTACTCATAATACCTTCCTCTTATTCTGAACCCGTCAACCTCAGATCTCTTCTCTGACACTATGGTTTTGTCTGTTTGAGAACATTACATAAATGGAATTATTATACATAACTTTTAGAGGCTGGCTTCTTATCCTTAACATGCCTTTGAGATAAATCCAAGCTTTTTGTTTATGATGGGTTCATTCCTCTCTATGGCTGAGCAGTATTTCATTGTCTAGATATACCCTAGTTTGAAGGGCATTTGGGATGCTTTCACTTTGGGGCAATTATGAGTTGAAGTGTTAGGTTATTGGATATTTGTATACAGATTTTTATGTGAACTACGTTTTCACTTCTCTTGGACAAATATCCATGAATGGACTGCTGGGTCATATGATAGGTGTACGTTTGACTTTTTAAGAAAATCTACTTTCTCAAAGTGGATTTTACTTATCATTAGCAATGTATGGGAAGTTGTGTAACATCCTTGCTAACACTAGGTATCATCAGTTAAAAAAGCTTTTTTAAGCCATTCTTATAAATGGCTGATTTTTTTTTTTAAGCCATTTAAGAAATGGAAATGTAGTGGCATCTCACTGTGATTTTGATTTGCAATTATAAATGGCTGATGATGCCAGACATCTTTTCATGTATTTACTTCCCATTCATAAATCCTGTTTGGTGAAGTGTCTATTCAAGACTTTTGTATATTTTATTTATTGTTTATTGTAAATTTTCTCCCACCCTGTAACTTGTCTTTTTATTCTTAGTGTCTTCCTCAGGGCAAAAAAAAAAAAAAAAATTTTTTTTTGATAACATTGAATTTACCAAGTTTTGCTTTATGGATTGTGCTTTTAGCATTGTATTTAAGAACTCTTGGTTTAACCCAGGTCCCAAAGTTTTATAGCTTTAAGTTTTTCATTTAGATTTATGATCCATTTCGAATTAATTAAAAAAAAAAAAAAGTATGAGGTGTAGGTTGAGATTCAGTTTTTACATATAGGTATCTATATGCAACATCATTTACTGAAAGGACGCTTGATTTTCCATCGAACTGTTTTAACAACTAATTCACTTGGCTATATTTCTGTGAGTCTGTTTTTAACTTTAGTGAGATGCACTGCTAGTCTAAATTTAAATGTGCTCATGATATGGGGCTCACTGCACAGCTCTGAACCACTAAGAAGACAAGCTGACGCAGTAATCAGAAGGTTGGTTAACATACATGTGCCTAGGCAAGGCTGGTAAATTTGGCCATTTTGTTGGGCAGGACTATGGACCTGAAGAAGCAATCACCTCCACCTGCCTGTACTTTTGGCTGAGACTGAGTGAAAATTCCCAGGTCTGAAGAATGCCCATCAGCTGGGGACTATCTATCAGACGGCAGTGGTTACCTTTCTTCCATTTGTTTCATGTTAGACATAACTTGATTGGTTTTTCCTTCAAAAGATGTGATGGCTTCATTCTTCTGCTGCAAATTGCTTTCTGCGTTCTGTGAAAGGAAGGAGAGAGAGTTTTATACTCTGTCAGTCCCCCACCCCAACTCTGGATTACAAGTAGTGTTCAACTGCCATTCTTCCTTAGAGTCTTGGAAGATAAATTGGGTCAAGGCTCCCAGCTTGACCAACAGAAAGAAAGGCACAGAAGGAATGGTGTCTTTTTTTCCCCTCTAAGAAGGATAATAAATAACCTGCTTCCCTTTTTGAAAAGGAACTTCAGAGTCAGATTGCCGGGCACATCCACTTGTCCCCACCCTGCACAGCTCTCTGGGTATGGAGGTACTTCTCTGATCAAGAGAGGAAATTTCAGCAAGAGAAAGCAGTTGGTTAAAAGGCTTGAGTGCAAATAAAAATTGGCCTTGGGTTCATAACCATATATGTGTGCTTTAAATCCTAACAGATACTGTGTGCTTATGAGACATCCTTAAAATAAATGGATACAGAAAAGCTGAAGATAGAATAAAATACTAATATATTCCAAAGAAATAATATACATTCTCTGACCTTAACATAATAAAATTAGCTATTTATAATGAAAGACTAGCTAAAAACACTTTATATCTGGAAAATGACTAGCATTATCAACAAAAAAATATTCCTTCTGACTTAATGACGTAAGTCAGGAGAAAATGATGAAATACTTAGAGACAATATTTCAAAGCATTTAAGATGCCACTGAAGGAGCCCTGGTGGCACAATGGTTAAGTGCTCCTCTGGTAACTGCAAGATTGGTGGTTTGAACCTACCAAGTGACTCTGAGGGAGAAACGACATGGTGATCTGCTATGGTAAAGACTATGGGAAACCCTATGGCACAGTTTTACATACTGTGTCCTATCTAGTGGTATGGCGCTGTAGGATAAGCACTAGACTGCTAACTATAAGGTCGGCAGTTTAAACCTATCAGCCATTCTTTGGAAACCCTATGCAGGGTCACTAGGAGTCAGAACTGACTCAGCAGCATTGAACAACAACACAGGGCTCTCTCTAAGTTGTAATCTACTTGAAGACAAACAACAGAAGATCCCACTGAGTGTAAGACAGTGGAACATAGTAAGGTGACGGTAGAACTCAGTGATGTAAGAACTAACAACAGCAGCAACAAGAAACTACAGAGATTATGCAGAAAAAAGGAAAGCTTGTCCTTTGAAAAGATTGTTCAGACAGACACACCTCTGGCAAGGCTAAATAAGGAAAAAAAGACACAAATAAGAAAATGCTGAATATTATAAAGGAACATTATGAACAATAAGGTAGTGTAGTGATTATGAGTCGGGCTGCCAACCGCAAGGTCAGCAGTTCGAAACTACCAGTGGTTCCGTGGGAGAAAGATGAGGCATTCTGCTCCCGTAAAGATTACAGCCTTGTACTCCAAGGTACTTAACAACAATAAGCTAAAACATTTGAAAGCCTAAACAAATAGATAACATTTTTGAAAAACAAAACAAAATTGGCACAAGAAGAAATGGAAAACATGAACAGCCCATTAAGCATTTAATAGCTGAAATGGTAATCAAAGTCTCCTCATCTCAAAATCTCCAGATGCAGATGAGTCCTATAGAATAGCTAAGGTCTCAAAAACTTTTTGAGGATATTTCCTATCTTATACAAGTTATTCTAGAGAAAGAAAGAACAGGAAAGATTATAATGCCAGTCAACTGGTGACACTGTAGTCAAAGGTTAGTAAAAGCATTAAGAAACCCATCTTAATTTATATATAAACATATTTATAAACACACATACACAGGTATTAGTTAAATAAATCAAGAGCATATTGAAAAATAGTTCACCCTGACCAAGTAAGACTGCAAGAATCTGAGGACTGTATACTACGATAAAATACATCAATATAGATCCCAACATAAGTGAAGAGAGAAGTAATGATTGTGACAATAGATGAAAATATAAAAAAGCAATTAATACAACACAACACTCATTTATGATAAACACTGAGCAAACAAGAAATAAAAGGGAACACCCTTAACTTGGTAAAGATTATATACCAAGAATCTAGCCAGCATAGTACACTTAGGAATTTTAGATGTTTTCCCTTTAAGATATGGACCATGAGTTTATTCAATAGTTCTTTTACTGTTAATGTAGTCCTGAAGGCCCTAGCCACTGCTAGGAGAAAGGAAAACTAAATTAACAAGTGCAAAAATTGATAGAAGAGATTCAAACCAAAACTAAATCCACTCACTGCTGTTGAGTCAACCCTACAGGACAGAGTAGACCTGCCCCACAGTGTTTTAAAGCTTGGCTTACCAGAAATGTCTACTACTACAAAACTGCAGTAAGTAAAACATAGAACTCAGAGACAGTTCCATGTTTATATAGGAACTTGATATGCAATAAAGGTAGCACAACATATCAATGGGAAAAGGTTGGATTAGCTATTAAGTGGCTTACTATATGGAAAGAAAAAAAACTGGATCCCTACTAGGTTAAGATCACGTATGTAGTCTCGATGACAAGTGGTGCTGGCAAAACTGGATATCCATTTGCTGAAGAATGGAATAGGACCCATATGTCACACCATTAAAAAAAAAACAAACAAACTCAAGAAAAAGATCATCAATGACAACATAGGGACAAAGTTAGGGGTCCTACTAAGAGACCATAAATACACTATCAAACATAACTGAAAGCACAGAAATAGCAGAAGACAAACCAAATGACTGGGACTGGCTACAAATTAAGACACTTGTGTGCATCAAAAGATTTCACCAAAAGAGATTTGACTCTTAAGGAGGGTGAGCCTTCACAGCTCCTGACCAGAGGATGTATAACTACCACGACCAGTGACCACTAGGGCTTCCCTTTCTGCTATTTTCCAGACAGGAATTTCTACTGTGGCTATTATGCTTCTGTGCTACCATTCTATAGGGGTGTGACAGGTTAATGGAAGAAAGATGACATGGTGTCTACATTACAGTCACAATTAGATCAAATGGAGAGTGCAGGGTAATACCTAGGAATGAGGACTTTGAGGAGGAGGCAGTGACCGGATGGACTTTATGTCAAAGGAGAGGATGCACTGAATATTGGGTCTACTCAGAGGGGCAGACTGCAGTACAGATCATCCCCTCTCTCTTGTATCTGGCTTGTAGCCCAGAAAAGATGGTATTTCTAGGCTCCCTTTGCAGCCAAGTGTGGCCAAATGGATGAAACTCTCATTGATGGAGCTGAACAGAAGTGACACAAGCAATTTCTGTCTCAGTGCCCAAGAGGAACCCTTGGCTCTAGACTTTCGCTTTTCTCCCCTTCCACTGTCATGAGGGATGGTGACAACTAGCATGGCCATGAAAACTGAAAGGGCCACCAGCCTGAGTCCCTGAATGAGAATGGGGAGCAAAACTCCTAGTCTGAAATGCTCCTTTAGGAACTATTAAGTGACCAAAAAAAAACCCCTTCTGTATTTTTAAGTCACTCTAGAGTGGGGGTGGGGAATGTCCGGCCTGCATGCCGTATAAAGCACAAAGGCACTATGTTGTTGCTGTTTCTAAGTGCCACCGAGTCGGTTCAGACTCACAGTGACCCTGTCTAGGATTTTCAAGGAGTGGCTGGTGAGTTTGAACCACTGACCTTGTGGTTCAAACCAACTTTGCATTTCCATCCTTTATCCCACAGTGCTACATGAGTTAAGGTCTGCAAAATCATTTGGTCTGGCTCTGCCAAGGTAACCACAGTTCCAGCCATTGTATTAGGGGTGAAGTTATTGAAATGTTTGACCAAATATAGCTGGCTAATTGTTAAGCTGATAATTTTTTATGGCCCATGAATGATGCTATAAATATCCAAATGGCCTAGAGTTGTCTGGGAGTGTGGTAGCTCCAGGGGATAAGCATGGGATTTCAGACCACGAGGTAAGTGGTTTGAGCCCACTAGCTGCTTCATAGGAGAAAGATAAGACTTTCTGCTTCCACAAAGATTTAAGGCCTAAGAAACCCATACAGGATGCCTATGAGTAAGAACTGACTTGATTGCACTGATCAACAACAATAACAATCTGCTAAATTGTTACAACCAGTACTTGTTATTAGTACTGGCTGCACTCACATTATCTTTGACATAATATTTTGGGAAGTGACAGTGCAACCATATCTATGGAAGATGAAGTGTAATTTTCAGGCAATAAAACAGGAAACAGCTTGAGAAAGAAGAAAAGCTTTGCGAAAGATACAGAATGGTACAACAGCTTCTGGGCAAGAAACCTTTATTTAGACGTCCTTCAAGCTCTGGCATGATTGATTCTTTCTGGGCTAAATGCCTGTGACTACTCTCAGATAACACAGAGAGGAAAGCCACTAGGAGGGTGGGCCGGAAGACTTGGCAAAATGAACTAATGACAAAGTTTGAAAAGACTAAATTAGATCTTCAATCAACTTCTGTATTTCTTATGGTAAACACTTAATCACTGAAGTAGCAAGAAAAAGATAACAGGGAGACAGAAAAGGAATAGCAGAAAAAGTCAGAGTTTAGATTCAGAAGACACAGTTCAACTTCCAGTTTCACTGCCCATTAGCTGTGCAACCACAGGCATGTTACTCAATTTTGAGTTTTTACACATCCCCCACCCCCACCCCATTTCATAAACCTTTTTCAGGGATTGTTGTTAGGATCAAACATAACAAATGTAACACGTCATAGGGCCTCCAACCAGGTCTGACCGATAAAAAGGACTCAATGAAGTTTATATTCTCTCCTTCTGCAGCAAGAAGGATGCCTGGGAAAAGCAGCAGGTGTGAGATGGGCACACAGCTGACTCTCACCTGAACCTTATGAAACATCTGTAAGTTAATTGCTTTGACTTCTTCCAGCTGCTGGCGAAGAGCGACTAGAGTGTCCTGTTTCTCATGGGTGTCCTTTTCCAGTAACTTCATGGCAATTTCCATCTCAGTTTTCATTCCAATTTGTAATTCCAATTCTTTTTCTAGTTCCTTAAAAGAATACGTACAGGAAAATGTTATTAAAGTCAGTCACAGACATGTATTTAACTGAGCTTGTATCTTGGACAATGCTTAAAATATAAACTGAAATCGGAATAGGTTCAGGAGACTTAGAAAAGTCTACTGACCAAATAACTAGATTAAGTCCCTCCCACCCTCTTTTTAATTTTATAATTAAAACTGCATCAAGCCAACAGAAAGCTGATAAACTGCAACACGAAACTAGAGTGCTAGCAAACATATTTTTCAAACCCCCAAATCAGAATGCATGGTCTGAAAGACTGTCTGTCTTGCATTGGACAGTAGGAAGCAATTTGGATGTTGCAATGTTAGAATTTCTGGAATGGGTTGCTAGTTTATGGAGACAAAGGTACAACCATTTTGAAATACTCAGTCCTGGGTAATTCAGGACACATGTTTCCCACATCCATAGAAAGAGTGACTATCAGCTTTTTTTTTTTCCTTTCTTAAAGTGAACAACTTTGGACTTTCTGTGAGCAACAGCAGGTCTAAGGCATACTATGTGGAAAGTGCTTACAGAATTAATTTTAAGGGCTACTGAAGAAAACTTTCTAAAGACAAGCTGTCTCACTCACTCACCAATCGGACTCTTTTTTCTTCTTTTAACTGCTTCCACACATCACTATACATCTCATCCAGACCTTGCCGAGTCTGCTTATAAGTCTCCAGCTCAACTTTTGTATCCTGTTTTGTTATCTATATCAAGCAAGAACAGTGAAAAAAATGACTTGCTTATGGAAATCAAACTAATTAATCATAGGTGTTAAAAAGACAATTTAAAAAAGTTAGGATAATTTCTATTTTTAAGCATGATGGAGAAAGATTATAAATGTAAAGATATTAGAACTTGAAGATAAAAGGATGAGAGCAAAACAAATTTTTTAAAAATTAGGTTTATAATGTATACATATGCACATTTTTATTGTGTGTATATGTATATATATATGTAGCATAGTGGTTACAAATCGGGCTGCGAACCTTAGGGTCAACAGTTCGAAACTACCAGCTGCTCCATGGGAGAAAGATGAGGCTTTCTGCTCTTGTAAAGATTTACAGCCTCGGAAACCCTGTACAGGGTCACTATGGGTCGGAACCGACTTTTGACCGCACATCACCACTATATATATATATACATATATATATAAAATATCTGCCATTTTAACCAGTTTTATGTGTACAATTCAGTGACATTTGCCATGCTGTGGCGCTATTACTGCTATTCATTTCAGCTTTTAGAGAAACTCTGCCTCTTAGGCAGTAACTCCCTTTCTTCTTCCCAACCGCTCCTGCTAACCACTGATCAACTCTGATCTCTATGTATTTGCTTATTGTAGGTATTTCACATAGGAGGGATCATAGGAGATTTTGTCACTGACTTACTGAATGGATTTTCAAAGATCATCCAGGAAATCCTGTCTCTTTATGATTGAGTAATACTCCTATTATTTGTTATTAAGTATCATTGGGTCACTTCCTACTCGTAGCGGCACTGTACAGGGTTTCTGAGGCTTCTTATAAATCTTTGACGGAGCAGAAAGCCTCATTTTCCTCCTGCAGAGCAGCTGGTGGGCTGGAACCGCAGTCCTTGTGGTTCACAGTCCAGTGACTATCACATGGAGCCACTGTGCTCCCACTGTATGGATAGGCAATTTTTATTTACCCAATCAATCAAAAGTAATTTATACTTAATTTACTTTAAAACAGAACAGAAGTGCTTCTCAGGAAAAACCCTTATTAATCATCCAGTTGGTTTGAGCAAGGAGCTCTGGTAGCTTAGTGGTTACGAATCGGGCTGCAAACTGCAAGGACAGCAGTTCGAAACTACCAGCTGCTCCGTGGGAGAAAGATGAAGCTTTCTGCTCTCGTAAAGATTTAAAGCCTCGGAAATCCTGTTCAGGGTTGCTATGGGTTGGAACCGACTCGACGGAACTTAACAACAACATTTATTTGAGCATGTTTTTAGTACTGGGTTGATTTAGAGATGAATTAGATAAGGCCTCTAATTTTGGTCATCAGGTTACTATGAAAAACAATAAACTGATTGTTATAATGAAGGAAGGTACAAAAAGCTATGGGAAATGGAGGAGGGCCTCATCCACACATGAGCCGTAAAGAGCATCATAGAAGAGAGAGTACATGTAGTTGAACTGAAGAACCAACAGGAGCCATGTACCCAAAGGGGACCAGAATAAGGAAGAGCACAGCAGCAGGAAGCAGTTGAGGGCACCAAACAAGGTACTTATGCACATGTGAGGCCTGGCTCCTTAGTAAAGTATGAAACTGATGGGAATGTTTGAGTGACAAACAGCTGCCCAGTTCTCAGGTCGATTTCTCACCTCCACACTCTTTTCACTTCTTTCACGTATTAATTCATTTTGTTCTCTCAATTGGTGCTGTTCTTCTTGAAGTGAACAAATCCGGCCCGCTGCAGCTGAAAGCTGATTAAGAAAGAATTCTATGTTTAACATCAAAATTGATTTGATTGCTCCAATAAAAATTCATACTTGGCATCTTCAGTTTTTAATGTACTTTCAAATGCTTGATATTTTATTAATGTAATTTCTTATTTTAAATAGCTAGTAAATTTGCATGGTTCAAACTCTGAAAGACACCAAAATGTATCAGTTGAATTCTCTTTCCTACCCCTGACTTTAAACCCCACTCTGCCCTCAAATTTTCTCTTTTATAAAAATAAGGTAGCATACTACTTAATGTGGGTAAAAACTTAGAAACAATACTAGAGAAATGGTTAAACAAATTACAGTGGATGCACAAAGCAAAACTATATAGTTACCAAAATGTTTACAAAAACTTTTAATAACTTGAAAAAATACTTATGTTATGTTATGAGGGGCTTCATAAAGCTCATGAAAAAATGGAATTAAAAGATAAAAATAAGAAAATATACACTGTATTTCTCAACATAAGCTCTGTCAAGGTCAAGACACTTATAAACAATGATATCAGTCATTTAGTTAATCTTTAAAGAACTGAGGGTCCTGGGAATTTAGCCATGTCAATGCAATTTTTTTCTATACTAACTGAAGAAAAATGGATATCCTTTAATGATTAGGAAGCAAAAAGAAGTCAGAGGAAGCCAAACAGGACCGCAGGGTCGATGCCTAATGATTTCCCATGGAAACTTTTACAAAACTGCCCTTGTTTGATAAGAGTAATGAGTACTCTGTGGGGAAGCTTTCTTGGTGTTTTTCTAGTAAAACTTTCACAAACTTTCTGTAAACACTCTCATAATAAGCTTTGGCCCAATAGAAAGTCAACAAGCAAAATGCCTCATTGTTGTTAGGTGTCATTGAGTTGGTTCTGACTCATAGTGACCCCACGACCAACAGAATGAAACACTGCCAGATCCCGTGCCATCCTCACAATTGTTGTTACACTTGAGCCCATCGCTGCTGCCATGGTGTCAATCCCAAAAAACTGTTGCCTCGACCTTTGCTTTAAAAAAAAAAAAAAAAAATTTTTTAAAAAGTTTTTATTGTGAATTATGTCATAGTTTACATGACAGAACACCAGTTTTACATTCATCTCATCATATTACATTTCATTGCAATGATTACAATCCCCTCTATGCATAATCACACAACCAAAGGGTATACACTGCAAGCCTGCCGCCTGACCCCCCACCCCTGGTCCCCAGCACACATCCCTTCTCCCTCCCTGAGTCCAGAGTCTCCAGTTGCTCCATCTCTCCACATCTCTGCCTCAATTTCTGGTGTCACTGTTTCTCTGGGTAGGGTTCCGGCACGCACTCCGCTCTTCTCCCTTGATCCCAGGGACCTCCGCTCCTGGACTGCAAAATCAACCACTCCCCTCCTTTTGTTACAAAATATCTACATTTACATTTCTCACCCTCACAGTCAGTTCTGATAGCAATTTTCACTCTTGTACCACGAGACTCTCATCACCATCTCCTTTCATCAGCCCCGTCCCAACAGATTGGAAAACCACTCAGTGGAGATTCTACCTTCCCCCACCCCCTCTGGAACTAGGCTCCCTCTTGAAAGTTAGTAAGTCAGTCACTTCTTGCCTTTGTAGCCTCCCCCTAGCCCCATTTTGGGTAGCCAGTGTCTAAGTTGTCCATCCCTGTCAACCCTGTGTACCAAGGGGGTGGGAATGATCCTTGCTGTAAAGATGTAGTCCCTGTTTTTTTCCTTTTCTTTTTAATGTTTTATTGTGAATTATGTGATAGTTCACATGGGAGAACATTAGTTTTACATTCATCCTATTGTACATCGTTTCATGGCCATGGTTACAATTCCCTCTATGCATGTGTTCCCTCTTTTGAGCTACTACATCCATAGTATAGGTCAAGTTCATCAAATTGTAGCAGATTATTCTTTTTTTCCTCTTCTTTCTTCTTCTAGTTGAGTTCTGATCATCCAACCACTGAAGCCAGGTCAAGTGGGTATTATCTGCAATTGTGGGTGTTCTTGTGTATCTCCCCTCACTTCATATCAGGTGCCCGTTTCACTCTCTGCTCTAGTCCTTTGTGGCCATGTCACTGCCTCTGGGCCCAGGAGTCCCCGGGTCTTGCCATACTGCTGGCCAACGAGGTCTCAACCTGGGTTCACAGGAATCTATTGAACATGGTTGGACTTAGCTCACAACTTCATTGCTGTTTTTCCCCCCACTTCCCTTTATTGGTGACCAACGTGGTTATTTACTTTTGCTTTTGACTGGCCCACTTTTGCTTTGCTTGGACCATTTCCATCCCTTGGTAGTCATCACTTTGTACATTATTTTCAAGATCATACATCATGTTACAATTCTTTGAAGAAAGTTTTTAGGATCTTGATCCCACTTGTTTAAACTTTCCATTGAAATTCTGCTTTTGTCTGCTTCTTATCTGGAACCAACAGTTTTGGCAGATATTGGGCAGAAAGTCTGCCCAACTTTAGTTTTCAGTCAGACAGAATTGTGTTAGCAGAACCAATTGAGATATCTATGGTGTTGGCTAATTTTTCCTGATACTAACTGATCCTTTTCAATTAGAGCATGAACAAGATTGTTTCCTTGCAAATTGATGTGGATGGTTTGTTGCTGAAGGCTTCATCTTCAACATTGTCTTGTTGAAAAGTGCCCTGGAGTTGGTTCCAACTCATAGCAACCCAGTACAGGGTTTCCAAGGAGCAGTTACTGGGTTTGAACTGTTGACCTTGCAGCTCAAACTACCTTTGCGGTCTAGTGCATTATCCTGCAGTGCCACACCAGGCCCAGTCCCCTGTTAAAATGAGTTATCCATTTGTAAACTGATTTCTTTGGGAGCACTGTCACCATAAACTTTCATTCTTCTACCCAAACTTCACCATAAATTCGATGTTTGCTCTTGCTTCAACTTTAACAAAATTCATGTTGTTCTGATAGGGGCTCTTTTCAAACTGATGTCTTACTCTATTCTTAGTGTCTCAAACTAGATCCTGTTCAGACATGTTGCAAGTTAGTACAAGTTTATTATGGTGCAAAAAACTTTTGAAATCCATGGAAATTTTTTCCGCAACAACAATAACAACAAATCAACTATGCTAAAAATACTGAAGAAAAGTTGGGACAGACAATATATAATAAATCGTAAAAGTAGTTTTAATTTAGCAAAGGGAATGTGAACATTTTTTCTGATTCTTATATCTTTTCAGTTTTCTTAAGCCAATGAGCAACACTACCTTTCATCTCTATGGTGGTGGTGGTGGTTACATGTTGTGAAGTCAGTTCCGACTCACAGCGACCCTGTACAGGGTTTCTGGGGCTGTAAATCTTTACGGGAGCAGAAAGCCTCATCATTCTCCCATGGAACAGCTGGTAGTTTCGAACTGCTGACCTTACGGTTTGCAGTCTGAATCGTAACCACTATGCTATAAAACAGCTTTGGGGAGGAATGAAAAACAAAACACTAAGGTTGTGCCCTAGAGGATGTCTTGTCTTCTCTTGAGTGAGTTCTGTAGCTTAGGGAATAGTACACAGAAGAGGATCTGTCTGAGGAAAGAATGTCCTGAGAGGCAGGAGAGGTGACCAAATACACCAACTAGCCCCCTCTCGATTCCAGCCTCAAAACAGTGTGATAGAAAGGAAAAAAGCAAAATTATTTGTTCTTGGTAATTCCTGGATGTGTTCTTGGCATCATTCTCTGATGGAGAAACCTTGAAGCATTGAATTCCTCACTTCCTTTTTGTCAACAGTGTCTACAAACACCCCAGAAGTACTTTTCACTCAGACTGAGAATCCAGGACTGGATTTCAAAACATCTGTGCTCCAACAGGAAACAACAAGGCTTTAAAAGGAGCAGACGAAAACCGTAAGCCAATTGCCATTCCACTGTTTGAAGATGAAGATACGTATGGTGGGGGAGGGGGGCTTCAAAAGTTTGTGGAAAAATGATAAGAAAAGATAATGGAATTTTCCCATAAACATTTTGAAGCCCAAATATACTTTTCTTTAAAGCACATTTTCCATGATCATTTGCATCTAAAGAAAAATAACCTAGTTGTTCAATTTAAAAAACTAAGTTATGCTTAATTGCTGTATGTTGTACTCTGCACACACCTTCATTCAAAGCATGCCCCCCTCATTTGGGAGCACATAGAGATCTGCTTGTTCTAAAATTAACCAATATTTCTTAAGTGCCTCCACAGGCCAAGAGGTGTATTGTTGTTGTTGTTGTCAGGTGCCATCGAGTCGGAACCGACTCATAGTGACCCCATGCACAGCAGAATGAAACAATGTACGATCCTGGGCCAACCTCACTACCGCTGCCACACTTGAGTCCATCAAGGATGCCACCTGGCCAATCCTTCTCATTAGAGGTCTTCCTCTTTTTCTCTGACCCTCCACCTTACCCAGCATGACATCCTTTTCCAATGATTGTTTCCTCCAGACAATATGTCCAAAGTATGAGAGACGAAGCTTAGCCATCCTGGCCTGCAAGGAGCACTCTGGCTGCATTTCTTCCAA